TGCCCAAGTCTAGGAGGTAGAGGTCAAGCAGAGGGCAGAGCCTTAGCCCTATCAGGAACTAAGGCAAGAGATATGAGTAAATCAAAGAAAACAACCACCAGTATAAAAAACTATTGTAGAGCTGGAGATTTCCCCCACCCCCAAGGGAAGAAGTAACTGCTACAACTACAAAGAAAGGCTTACAAGGAAAAAATGGATTTCCCACAAAGACTATATGAATATCTAGAAGAAATGCAGTAAGAGATTTTAAAATTAAATAAAAGCTGTAAACAATAGGTGGAGACTAAGTAAGGAATAAGAAAGTGGTAAACCCTCCCCAAGAAATGGAATCTCTGGAAATTAGAACAGAGCAAGCAGAAACCAATGACTCCATGAGATAGCAGGAAACCTTAGAACAAAATCAAAAGATTGAAATCAAAACGTGTAAGTTATCTGATATCAAAAACAATTGACATGGAATAGAGGTTAAGGAGATGTAATTTAAGAATCAATGGACTCCAAGAAAACATTAACTTCAAAGAAAAACTCTGGACACTATTTCAAGAAATCATAAACTACTCAGATCTATTGAAACTAGAAGGTGAAGCAAAAATAGAATCTACTTCAATATTCTCCTGAATGGGACCCCAAAAGGAAAAGTCCCAGGCATGTCACAGCCAAGATGAAGAGCTCCTACATTGTAGAAGAAATATTGCAGGCATCCAGAAGGAAGTTTACCAAGAAACTACAGGCAGGATCACATAAGAGCTGCCTGCTTTGACAAAAAAATGAGATGAGGTCTTGGAATACACTATTATAAAAAGCAAAAGACTCTTGCTACCAAGAATTACTTACTTGGAAAAAGCTGAGTATAATTTTACAGAGGACAAAAAAAAGGACCAGAGCTGACTAGTGACTCTGAAATATAAACACAAGTCTAGAAAAACTTATAAAAAAGACAAATTTATTTGGGCAGTTGAGATAGACTCTATGATAATGTTGTGCTAATATCCTAGGGGGGGGAAAGAAACAAGTGCCCTTTGGAGCCTTAATATTTTTAAAGGATATCAAGAGAATTAAAATAAGAAAAACAGACAACTTGGGAGTGGATGAGTGGGAGAATGAAAGAATAGTGTAGAAAGGAGGAAGAAGGGGTGGAACTTGCAATTCCTCATAATTGGGGTACATGAGAAGAGTATATATATATATATATATATATATATATATATATACAAACATAGAGGAAGAAGGGTTTGGGGATAAGTTTAGAAAGAAGCACAGAGAATCAGGATAGTTTTGAATATAATATGTAGAATTTATATACTTTTTTTTGATAAAGCAAATGGTATGAAATGGAGATTCGTGGTTTCATATACAATACTCTTGTGTTCTGTATATGGAAATACTCTTTTTTTTTCATTGTTTAAGTTCAGAAATTTAATTTAATTTTTCCCCAATCACATGTAAAAACAATTTTTAACCTTTGTTTTTTTAAATTTTTGAGTCCCAAATTTTCTCTCTCCTTTCTTCCCTCCCTCACTGAGAAGACAAGTAATTTGATATAGGTTGTACATGTGCAATTATGCAAAATATATTTCCATATTAGTCATGTTGTGAAAGAAAACACAGACCAAAAACAAAAAACAAAAAAAACCCCAACAAGAATAGTAAAGAAAGTAAAAAAAAAAAAAAAGGTCTGCTTAGATCTGCATTCAGACTCCATCAGTTCTTTCTCTGGAGATGGATAGCATTTTCCATCATAAGGCCTTCAGAGTTGTCATGAATCGTTGTATTGCTGAGAATGACAGAGTCATTCACAGCTGATTATCATACAGCATTGCTACTGTGATACACATGTTGCTTATTTCACTTTTGCATCAGTTTGTATAAGTCTTTCTAGATTTTTCTCAGAGTATCTTGCTCACCGTTTCTTAGAGCCCAATAGTATTCCATCACAACCTTATACCATAATCTGTTCAGCCATTCCCCAATTGATGGACATCTCCTTAATTTACAATTCTTTGCCACCACAAAAAGAGCTGCTATCAGTACTTTTGTACATGTGGACTAGGGTCCCAGCTCCCTGCGGTCGCAAGCTCTGGTTTACTGGTGCATCTTCTTGCCCTGGGACTGAGACCTCAGGCTGTCACCCAGATCCTCGTATGGGCAGTGCAGCAGAGTCTCGCCCCCTGTTGCCAGCAAAGTGACCACTGTACTCTCCTTCTGACCGGTTGTCTGACCCCCTTACTGTCTGTGGGCTGAGAGGTCCAGAAACCACCACTTCTACCACTGATTCAGTTACCCCAAGTCCTGTTCCTTGTTTGCTGGGGCCCAGTCTGCACTGGCATGGCCTGTGCTAGGCTATGCTCCACTCTCACCCCATGCAGCAGACCTTTCCTGCTGACCTTCTAATTTGTCTTGGCCTGGAAAATTGTTTCACCTCATCCTTTTGTGGGTTCTGCAACTCTAGAATTTGTTTTGAGGCGTTATTTAAAGTTTTTTGGAGGGGTTTTTGGGAAAGTTCATGTGAGTCTCTGCATTTTCTGTGCCATCTTGGCTCTATGCCTCCCCCCTGCATGTATTAAATAAGCTCAGAATTTAAAAAAATATGTAAGAGACAAACAAAAAAATTTGACTGACTGAAGTATCCAATTGTGATGAAACATCCAGAGAGGTGGTAACCTGTGAGTGCAGAATGAGGCATACGTTTTCAGAACGCCAATGTGTTTGGTTTTGGTTGACTGTTTTTTATATGGGATTGTTCTGTTGATTGAGAATTTTTTTTAAGGAAAAGCTTTTTTTATTAAATATTTTTATTAATTTATTTTAAATTTTTAGTAAGTGTTTTTTATTAACTAAATAATTATCACATTTTGGCTTACAGGAGACTTGATTTCCAAGTGTTAAGGAGATTGTTAATATAAAAGGAAGTGTGTGCCTTTACCCTTTGTTGCTTATAAAGTGTCTCAAGTCACCCAGAACAAGCCTTCTAACCAACCATGTGCTTTACTTTATGGTACAGAAAGGCATTTAAATCCCAAGAAAGTTCAAACTCTTTTGTTTGGCGTCCAAAGATCCTCCACAAGCAGGCCCCACCCTATTTTTCCATTTTTTTCTCCCCTACATCCTCTCCAGGCATGCCATACTCTAGCAAAACTTGACAGTGCTGCCCCCAAACACACCCTGCCCTCTCCCACCTTTGATCCTTTGATTTGGCTATTCTGTGTGTCTTAAAATGTTCTCCCTCCCTTTCTGGGTCTGCTCAATTCCTAACCATTCTCTTAAGTTCAGCTCACCTGCGCCTCCCAGGAGAACTTCCCTTCCTCAGGCACCATGTAACTAGATTATACATTATAGCATACAGTGTGACAAGATGAGTGCTTTCTTTGTATGGGCTTTTCCTCCTCGCTAGCAAGAATAGTAGTCTACAAACTTCTTGGGGGCAGAGAATTGTACCTTACATCAAGGTGGTATCTTGTCTCAGTGTGGAGATCTGCAAACACTGCTTGTAAATGCCTGCCTGGTTGGTTGGGTCAGGGCACAGCATTGACAAGGTCAGGGAACCTTGCAGGGAGTGTACAGACAGCTCTTCCCCCTGACGCGGCTCGTTCACTTTGGAACATGCTTTAGTACTTCTGGACAGGCTGCTCTAGGTGGGGCTCTCTAGACCAGTAGCAGTGAGAGGGGTAGGGAAGGGGCGAGATGAAAGAAGTGGGTTGTTTGGTGCGATGTAGTCTGTTTTCACCATATAATGAGTAGGTAAGGAGTCACAGGCTAGAGACATGGTTAACCTAGAAATTCGAGGCTCCAAAGGGTGAAATGGATACCTGGAGTCCAAGATCAGTCAACAGTTATTTAAGGTCAAGTAAGCATCCAAAAAGACCAGATATATGAACAAAAAAGCAGGTTTGAGGCTTACGTAGGAAGGCTGTTTCCCAGTCTGACTTGCTCATTGTGGCATCTGTGCTCATCATCCTTTTGAGCTTTAGTGTTTGTGGCTAATCTCCTCTCGCCTCCATGTCTCCCCATCCTCCTGTTCAGATGTGGACAGCTGCCAATCACTGCCACTATCTGCCACGGGAAAAAAGAGCTGAGTCTGTTCAGTGGGTTAGAGATGAGAAATTCTCACCTGGCCTCACACCATGACCCTGATCCAGGCTACAAACTGTACCCCAATCCTTTCCCCAGGCAGAAGCATTTGTATAGCCCAGGCAGAATCTGAGAATTATATTCATTCTATATTATTGTCTACCAGAGCCTTTAAGCTCTTACTATAATACATATGACTTTACTTAGGGAAAAAATCAATCCCCTATGGGTTATAGAGAGCCTGATTTTCTGGTGCATCTGTTAAAAAAAAAAGTGCCTCTCCATGTGCTCCCTTGCATCTTACATTCTGGACAGCTGCCTACCTTACTAACTCATAGGTTTGATTGTGTTATAGAGCCCCAGCCCTATCCGCAGACTTCTAGACCTGTGTAAAGACCAGGTGTAGATGGCTTGGTGCACGCCATTCCCCTTGCTGGAGACACTGTTCCCACCCACATTATACTGACTGGTATGGGATTGGGAACTCCACCTTCCCATGAGGTTGTATACTTTACTGATCATTTCCAGATAGATGGATAGGTAGATAAATAGGTGGCTGCTAATGTGTCTCTCAGATCATAGATGCCTAGAGGCAAAGGCATACCTCTCCGATTCACTCCATACAGGTTTTGTGCTAATCAGAATCCTTCCCTGATTCCACCCTCAGCAGAAAATGATTTCATCCTTTCCAGATTTCTCTTTGTACTTTGTCTGGATAGCACTTTTATCCCGCTCACATTCTAAATGCTGTTTCATCCCCCACTAAATCATCGGGGGGGTCTTTTTTTTTCCATCTTTGTATCTTCAGCACCAAATACTGTGTCTTGCACACCATAATAGCTGCTTAGTATACACCTTCTGAATCCTTGAATTGAAGTTAGATTGTTTTATTCCTCACCTTGCTCAAAACCTGTTTTCTCTTTTTTTCTCAGACTCCATGAAAACCTAGAGGAAGAGCCCAATTTTCTTGTGGAGTTCGATAGCTCAGTATCTGGTGCTTTTCAAAGCCACCTAAAACTATATAAGATCCGAAGGAAAGTCAGCATCAGCCCGTGCTCTGATCTCTCTCTCTGGGCTGTCCTCCCACAGACTGCAGCTGAGGGCCTGGCAAAGCCCTTGTTAGAGAAAGGTGGCAGACCTGTGGTGCTTACCCCAGATCCCAGAGCAGCATGCATGGGCTGGAGGTTAATCATCCAGAAGGAAGACGTGGCCCAGGATGTCGTTCCTACTGCCCAAGTTAGAAGCGCTAAGGACTATCATAAACACAGGTATCAAAAAGGTAAAGGAGAACTCCCTGCTGGGGCCCAAGCAGGGTGAGGAATGGAGAAGGGGTACCCTGGCCCACAGTACCTGAGGGGTCACTCAGGCCAAGAACTCTGAATCTTTTTGGTGTCATGGACCTTGGGAAGTCCCATTAAAGCCTAGGGAGCCCTTCTCAGAGTAACGTTTTTAAATATAGAAAATTATAAAGAAAAATAATTATATTGAAATACAGTTATCAAAATATTTTATAAAACAAATTCATGGACCACCCTCCCCTCCCCCCCGGTCAGAAACCTCAGGACCAACCAGATGGTTAAATAATAATAATGATGATGATAACCATGATGGTCATGACAGTGGTGTTTCTAAAGACCCTCCTAGCTTTAACATTCTATGTGATGGGTTTCCTCCCCTAACACTGTGATCTTGGCTTCCTCAGTTTTCACATACCTGGTAAAGAAGTTGCTAAAGACGCATACTGTTTTTTTACTTCTCACTTAACAGTAATCAAGGGAAGGCAGGACAGTAAAGGGGTTTAATAAATGAGAGCTAATGTGGTATAGTAGAAAGAGCCCTGACCCAGAAGTCAGGAGCCCTGAATTCTAGGCCCAGCTTCTCATCTGCCCACTCTGTGAGCTTCACTCTCCTCATTTGTAAAGTGGGAATAAAATTCTTCATACCATCTACTACCTTAGGAAGTTGCATTACCAAAACAACATCAAAAAACCACACCCTAAAGAAATGGGAGCTCCTGTTATCATTAGAGATGGGGTATCATATGAGGAGTTCTATAGATGCAAGATGGATATAACTATTCCTAAGCAGATCACAAAACATCTTTTTGTGTTGCTCTAGAAGCTGCCTTGAAAAGTTGGGGGTGGCCTGAGTGTGTAGTGGGAAGAATTTGGGACTTGGAGTCAGAAGACGGGTTTGAATCTCATCTCCGCCATTCCCTCATTACCTGTATCTTTGGGCAAGTCACTTCCTTCTCTAGGCTTGTTTTCTCATCTGTGAAGGGGTCACACTAAATAACTTCTCATGTCCCTTGCAGCTTTCAATTTGTTTCTGTGATCTTAAAAAAACTAGGGTACTTGGATAGGCACAGTAGCCACGGGGACTTTTTTCCAGAAAGAGTCTTCATGGCGATGAATACTGTGATAAATGTTTAAGGTTAGTGTATAACCAAAACTGTAATGAAATGGAAATCATCTAATCCTGAAATTATGAAATCCTAGCACTGAGGATCCTGGACCCCTGAGTCCTTCCAGGGGCATTGGGCCTCCTAATGGGCCTCCCTGTTAGACCCAGTGCCTTCCTGAAGGCAGCATCTTAAAGCAGGTCTCTGTAGGGCCGAGCACTGACAACACATGTTGTTTGTTGTCTGAACACCTAGACATCTGTGCAGAGCTCATTTCTGACCAAGGCCAAATATTGCTCTTATTCTCCCCTTCCAAATCCTCCAGACTTCCAGACCTTCCACAATGGAAACTGGGCTCAGCTGCCCACAATTCCCCCTAAGTTGTACTGCACTAAAGCTGATCTTCCCCTTTCTCTTGCTTTGGGCACTGGCAGGTAGTCAGCCCATGCTGTGTCCACTCCGTCTCTTCTGCAGAGCTCACAGCACCCAGGCTGCCCTCCAACCTCTCCCACTCCTTGCCAGATACCCCCATATTCTCACTGCTTTGTAGCGAAACTAATTACCCACCGCAGAACTGCCATAAAGCTGCTGTGCCTGTCAGAGATGGGGAGTCACCGTCCTGCATGAGGAACAGGCAGCTGCTGCTTCTGCTGTCCCTTTTCAACCCCTCGACAGCCTGAGCTCTCGACAGCTTCTGATACTCACTTTGGGAGCATTAGAGTTGCCCATTAGTGATTATCCTGGGCATTTGGTATTGTGGATGGAGATCAGAAAAACCTGGTTAAAATCCTGCCTCAGCCACTTACTGTCACCCTAGGCAAGTACTTAACCTTACTCAATCTCAAAGGATTGTTGAGAGGATCACATGAGGTGATATTTATAAAGTGCTTTGCAAACTTTACTTTAGCGATCATAGTGATCATCATTATCATTATGTGTAACACTTGATAGTTTTCAAAACCCCTTCACCTCTATTTACTCATCTTACAGCCAGAGGGTTGTTCGAGGACTTTCCAGCTGACAGATCTACCTGCTCCTGAGAACCAGCAGCTTGGACTGGCTGAGAAACCTCATTGTCCAGATGGCAGGTTCCAAACAAAAAGCTGTCTGGTCCTCCCTGCCAGTAGATGGGAGACCACAGACTCCTTTCCCCTTCCCTGTCTGCCCTAGAAATACTTGGTCTATGGCATGGCTAATTACAGTGATTTGCATGAAGCATACATTTCCTCCGCTCAAGTCCCAGAGGGTCAGCTTGGCCACAGGCCAGGCACTAAGGACATATAAAGATTGTGCGTGTTATCTTGCCTCTTTAGCCCGGAGGAGACAAAACTTTAAGGGGCCATGATAGCTATTGGGCAGTGTTTAAAAGGATTTGTCTAAATCTAAAAGGGCAGAACTAGGTGGAAGTTGCCTGAGGCAGATCTAAGCTACTTGTGAGGAGAAACTTTCTTTTTTTTTCTTTTTCTTTTTTTTGTTACTTTTTTCTTTTTTGTTATTTCTTTTGTTTTGCCTTTTTTTAAAATTTCTTTTGAGGAAAAACTTTCTAAAGAGAACTGTCTGAGAGCTGGATGGTTGTCTGGGGAGGGAGGGAGGGAGTTCCCTTGAAAGAGAAGTTAGAGGACTACTTGTGAGCAGTGTCCTACAGGAGATTCTTCTAAAGGCATAGCTTAAGTGAGAGACCCTTTGAGGTTCCTTAGAACACTGAGATTCTGTGATCACTTATATGTCAGATTAACTTAATGTAAGTTGTATTTGGGGCACCTAGGATAGAGCCCTGAGCCTGGAGTCAGGAAGATCCAAGTTCACATCTGGCCTCAGACACTAGCTTTGTCACCCTGGGCAGGTCACTTAATCTTGTTTGCCTCAGTTTCCTCATCTGTAAAGTGAGCCAGAGAAGAAAACTGAAAACCGTTCAGGTATCTTTGCCAAGAAAACCCCAAAAGGAGTCATAAAGAGTGGGACATGACTGAAAAATGACTTAAAAATGATATTTAATTATGAATGAATGATTTATACATACAGCTAGGTCATGATTGGTATAAATAATGAATCCCCTGAAGTGGTTGCATTATTTGAATTAACACTGCATATTTCCACTGGACTGAAACCAGTTACCAAATTTTACATAATTATAACTGCAAATAGTGTGAATTCGAAAATACACAACCCCTTCCAGGGTTGTACTAATCAGGACTGGGATGTATGTACAGTCTATAGCGTAGTTATTCATGGATACTTAAAATCAGAATCAATTATTGATTAACATTCATCTTGAGCGGTCTTATTTGCTAATCATTTCATGTATGTGTGTATACACATATAAATTATGTGTTTGCATATATATGTGTGTACATATAAAATGTCTTGTTTCCCTGAATAGTATGTGCTTTTCCCAAGTAGGGATGATGTCCTAGACCAGTGGTATCAAATTTAAATAGAAACAGATCCCTGCAGGTCACATATTGACTTAGAAAATCATAAATTAACATTATCCGTGTTGTATTATATTTTTATTTATTTTGTTAAACATTTCCCAAATACATTTTCATCTGGTCCAGGCCAGTTAGTGTTGCAGGCTGTGCCTCAAGCAAGACCCCTCTGTCCTGGATACTTCTTTTTAAAAATCTCAAACAGTAATAGTAATTGACACTTCTCTAGCACTTCATGGCTCCCTCGACACTTCTCACAACTCTGTGAAGCCTTCAGGATGTCTCATTATGCCTGTTACACAGATGAGGGGGATGACATAACGTGCCCTGGGTAATACAGCTGGTAGGTAGCAAGCTGGGATTCAGATTCTGGTCTTCTGACTCCAGCACTTGTACTATGCCCTGCTGCTCCCAAGCAGACTTCAGACTTCTTCATTGATGGTCGCTCCTTTTGGCATGCACCGTTGTCTGAAAGGGCCCTGAACTCTGAGGCTAACATTTCTCACCCTTTTGGAGCTGCTGGGACCTTGGAGGGAGGTGTTTTTTTTTCATTTTTAGTTCATTTTGATCAAAGGCAGCATGGAAGAGTGGAAAGAGTGACGGAGTTGGAAATATCATTAGTACTTGTTTGGAGCCCAGAGCAGCCTCTCTGCCAGCTGGATGGAAGGAATGTGCCAGCTGTGGGACAGAGGGGGGAGGGTTTGTTCCCAGCACTGAAAGAAATAGGTTTGTCATGTAACTTTGCTTTCTTTTCTTCTCCCTCAATAGGAATTCCTGAAGGGGTCAAAGATCTACCACCTGGTGTGGCCTTGCCCTTGGAGTCCAACCTGACTTTCATGAATGGGGTCAGCTTCACTAAAGGCTGCTACATTGGACAGGAGTTGACTGCTCGGACCCAACACATGGGAGTCATCCGAAAACGCCTTTTCCCTATTAGGTTTTCAGCCCCCGTCACAGCTGAAGGCATTTCTGCAGGGGCCACTGTCCTCACCGAATCAGGAAAGCAGGCTGGGAAGTACCGGGCAGGGGAGGATGATGTGGGAATCGCTTTGCTTCAGTCAGAGAAAATCAAGGTGCCCCTTTACATCAAGACCTCCCAAGGTCACCAAGTGAACATTATTCCATCTGTGCCAGATTGGTGGCCCAAAGCTAACAAATAATTCCAACCCCCAGGTAGTACTGATCGGCGTATTTGTGTGTATGCTATGTGTATGCTCTCCTTATTGATTCTGATGGTGGGGAGGGGGAGTGTATCTGGGGAAGGGGTTGCCTTTTTGCAGCTGGTATCACTAGAGTTGTTCTGTGCCCACAAAACAGATGGAACACAGTGTGGGGCTCCTCTCAGGACAAGACCAGCTAGTCTGGAATTCCCCAGGGAAGACAAAAGGGTAAAGTTTGCTGAGGGGCAGGAGAGCTGAGACCTGAGACAAGAGAAGACCAAGTCTCCAGAGTCAGGCTGAATCTGCTACCAGAGTAACAATGGGACTGAATAGCTAAGGGCAGTCAGAATCGGAGAGGCCAAAGTGGGGGGTTTCAGCTAAAAGGTAAGGGAAGTTCAGGAAATGCCACAGAGCTGATCCTTCCTCTGAATTCTAGCTCTTTCCCAAAGGTTTTAGTTTTATTGTTGCACAGACCTGCATGCCTTTCCTCCTGCTGCTGGTGTTGAAATCCCTGTTTCCCATGTGAGCCCTGTGGCTTCCAGGGACACGGACCAGGGGGCTGAGTAAAACTGAATTGTTAGATAACCTTTGACTAGCACTTGAATTTTGTGTTAATACTTTCCTGAAAAATATCCTCCTTTTGAACAAAAAACAAATAAAAACCACTCTGTTCTAGTATGTAGTCCTCATATCTTTGCTGTGCCTCCAAGCTGTTTTGATCCTCTTAGCCAAGAGTCCCTGACAGTGAGGTTTCTTTAATACCTCCTGCAGCTACTTAACATGGACTTCTTGATATCCTTGAATCAAGGGAGAAGGCAGTGCCTATCGCAGCTGAGCCCAGATGTTACTGCAGACTGGATGGTACAATGGGAGTGCATCAAGCCTGTACCCTATTTTATCCAGAACATTCACCACTGAAACCGAAGGGGGTGGGGAAAAAAAGACAGAGAGAAAGACACACACACACACACACACACACACACTATATATCATGGAGGAGCTACAGCCTTGCCAGATTGAAGCCAGAGTCTATTGCCCAGACTCAGTCTGTAGGTTGGGAAGGGAAATCTAGGTTTGTCCCTTGGAGAGGATTAGATCAACAGCATGAACCACCTTGCTAAGCTATCAGCAGAGAAATACAGAAGCTAGCACAGTATGGATACTGGCTACAATGGAGAATACCCTTGTTTGCCTCAGGGTTATTGGACGCCATCATCTTCTCTATCACACTTCATCTGCAAGGGCCTGAGTTTTCTTTGCTTGGGGCTGCCCTATGACAATTCTGTAGCTCTGTAAAGTTAATTCTGTCTACTCACTCAGTGTAACTGGGTGTGAATGGCCAAGTGGTTCCTTTGGAGCAGAGCCAGATTAAAGAGTGAAAGACCCTCATATAATTTACTCCAACTCTGCTACTGCTTAAACCAGTCCAGAAAGTGACCTGGATTTGGAGTCTGAGAGACCCGAATCCAGCCTCTGTTCTTTACCAGTTGTGACCTTGGGCGTGTCTCTTCTCTCTGGGCCTCAGTTTCCTTGTCTGTAAATTGATCCCCACTCCCTTCTAGCTCTGTAGCAGGAGTTCTAAACCTTTTTTTGTCAGTTTGGTGAAACCTGTTACCTCTTCAGAATGTTTTAACTGCGTAAAATAAAATAAGGAAATCAATTATACAGAAATAAGAATTATCAAAATATTTAAAAAAGATATTTACAGACCCCAAGTTAAGAACCCTGCTCTAGCTCCAAGGATCTTGTGACATTGAAAATAAGGTTCAGATGCAATCATCAAAGATGGAGCTTCTGAATCCCACAAGAAAAGTCCAGAGACAAGGCTCTTGTGCTCTCTCTGGGGAATCTGTACAGGCAGAAACCCTTCCAAAGTCACTTCTATCCAAGGGAATATTCCTCAGCTATTGGGCAGCTGCTTTGCTAAGATCATTTTCTCTAAGAAGCCTAAAGGTTTCCGGGTGGTTTGCCAGGTTTGGAGTTTGCTGGGAAACTTTTGTTCCTTTTCTTTCTGTTGACAATTTCATGATCATCATGAGACAATGATTTTGTTTCAGGCCACGGCCAACCAATTCTTTGTAATTTTATCCATTCCCAGTTTAGGAGCCTTGAGTTCCTCAGTGGGTGGCAGAAGCACACAGATTGACATGCACACATATACACATGCATTCACACATAGGCAGATTACACATGAAGAAAAGCACACATGCTTGAGAAAAAGCTAATTCAATTTCCTCTCAAAGTTTACCTTTTATGATAAGGAGGCTATTTGTCTTTCTTAACCATTAATCTACTCCCCCTCACAGGAAAATCCAACTGCACTGAAAAGTTCCGTGGTGATTGTTTCTTACCAAAAACTTTGGATAAGTCAGCACTTTGGAAACCCTCACTTTGTTGCTGCTTCCTGTTCAGGAATGACACAGGAAAATGAGCAGCTTAGAAATGGCTTCAGTTATCCCTCCTCTGCCCCAGGTGAAATGGGATTTTCATCACCTGGACCACAAAGCCAACTGGACAGTTAATGGCAGCCTTCATTGGCTCCAGGATCAGAGCAGCCTTGAGTCCCAGAGTGGGCTGTGCTCTGGGGAGGGTGGTCTCTTCCTCAGCAGTTCGAGAGCAGCTACGTTAGACTTTGGATTTAATTTATTTTTTATTTAGGTATGAGTGTTTATATTTAAATATATGTACATATATATATACACACACATATATGTGTGTATGTATTTCATCTAAGTGGCAATTTAAAAAATCACTATTTTGAATCTTTTTTTTTTGCAGTAACCTTCCTATATATCTGTGGTTCTGTCTTGGTGAATGCCCAGGTGTAAAGAAATAGAATCATAATGTTTGCTGAATAAAAATTAGTTCTGTCAGTAATCTATGTGGACTGACCTGGTGGGTTGTGGGGTGGGAGGAGGCAGGATTCACCATTCTAGGTCAATTCAGTTAAGCAAACACTGCATGCCTAAGGTATACAGAGCACTGCTAGGCCCTGGAATAGATACAAAGATTAGATAAGACATGTCTCTTGCCCTTCCAGAGGTCACAGTCTAGGGAGGGAGGAGGACAGAGGAACAGAGAAGCTAAAACATGCTATTAAATTCAATAAGTATTTATTTAATTAAATTTTTGGTGAGGCAATTGGGGTTAAGTGACTTGCCTAGGGTCACACAGCTAGTAAGTGTCCAGTGTCTGGTCTGATGCCGGATTTGAACTCAGGTCCTCCTGACTCCCAGGCCCGGTGCTCTATCTACTCTGCCACGTAGCTGCCCCAATAAGTACTTATTAAAGTGCCAGCTGTACTGGGCACCATAGATGCGAATACAATGAATGTGAAACAATCCCTAGTCACTAGGAACTACCACACACACACCCCTTTGCACAGCTCACAGTCTAGTAGGGTGTTAATCCAATTCAACAAGTATGTGCTAAGCACCTACTGTATGCAGAACAGTATGGTGGTTGGGTATTAAGGAAAATACAGAATTTAGACAAGACATTGACTCTGCTCTCGTGGAGTTTAGAGGGAGATAAAACAAACAGCTATAATACATAAGACTGGACCTCTCTGAAGCAAATGTGAAGTCCAGAGAGGGAGAGAGGGTTGTTACTGACCTGGGATGGTGATAGAAGAGTGAGAGAAGACTTCTTGGAGTAGGTGACATTTAATTTGGGCTTTAAAAGATGGTTAGGAATTCAACAACCTTTACTAACACCCTCTTCAGCTACTTTGTTTCTGTGGCCGTGCAAAAGGGGGACCAGCTTAGCTGGGAAGGCTTTGACTTACAGCCTGGCAGTGGCCTGTCATCCCAGGACCAGTTTAGGAAATGTCAGTTAACAAACATAGATTAAGCACATTTACTGGTGGTGAGGGCAGTGCAGATACAAAGGGAGCAAACACATGGAAAAGTGAAGCTTTGAACAAGGGTCAGCCGAGGAGCCTCTATGTAGGTTCCTCTCTGTCACTGCTCACTTGCTTATTCCCAGAGGCACAGGTCAGTGCTTTGGCCTTCTCTTCTGGTATCATAAAAATGAATAATTATTATTAATTAGATAATAAGAATGAGCAAGAAGAACAAAGACATTCAGATTAGATACAGAATATAGAGGAATCTCCGGTTCCCATGGGAACCTTGTTCCTGGGTCTGTTGAGTCCCAGCTTGGGGATTAGGGAGAGTGGTGGGTTTAGAAGGAGAAGACCTAGTCTCAAATCCAAGCTCTGTCACTTGCTGTGTGGGGTGAACCTGGCCAAGTCACTTTCTCTGTGGGCCTCAGTTTCCTCATCTGAACATCAGGGAAGTTGGACTAAATGATCCCTAAGGCCTCTTCTACTTCCACATCCTATGATCTGGCCCTGCCCCAAGAGACTGATATCTATTCCACTTTAAAAAAACCAACAAAAATTCAAGGAACATTTTCTAAGTGCCCACTGTATGCAGTGCACTATGCTAGTTGCTGGAGGAGCCAAAAAAGTTTAGATAAGACATGAGAAATGCTATATGATTCATGGAACTGATAGCCTGGTAGGGGTAATGGATGTGCTTGGAATACAGTAAGTGCTTTAAAAATCTTTTAAATTAACAGAAGTTTTCCCTGACCTTTTAAATCATCAAACTGTTCACATTCAAACAAGGGCTCACATTATATTTGTCACCAGGTTATTTGACTTTATATTTGTGCCACTGTCTATTTTCTGTCCCGAACCACTCAATCCCATCTGAGAACTGTTTCATCATGCACATATTTTAGCAACATTTCTTAAACCAAAGTTCTTTTCCTACTCCTTTTAGGCACCAAAATGATCACCTATGACAGAGGCAATTCTTACATCCTTTACTAGAAGATTTAAATCTTTTTATTTACATAAAAATACCTTTTGTTGTTTCTATATGAACTGGGTAGTACCTTAAAGAGACAATACCTTATACTAGGAATTATCTTCACCTCTCCCTTCTTCAGTTTCTATATCCAATCAATTGTCAAATCTTGTCAATTCTGCTGCCTCAACATCCCTTATATCTGTCCCCTTCTCTCTACTCACACTAGGCCCCCATCACCTTTAGTTTCAGCTTGATTGGAGTGCAGGAAAATCTTAATTATTTGGATAAACTAGTATCAGTATGAATTGGTGAAAGTCAATTCTTACAGCTGAGAGTTTTGAAAAGTTGTAGGAGGCATCACCAGAGGTCCAAGTACTGGAATCCATGTGAGAACTGCTAGTGAAGAGTAAAGTTTTAAGGAATGACCTGTGGGATCCAGCCCATTAATGGATCATCCTGGAGGCCATGAGGCAGCATTCTACATCAAGGGAGTGAGCAACTCATCTAACACCTGTGCTACATACACATGGAAGTGAACATGGTGGGGCAAATGTCCATAGCACCTGGGACAGAGGTGATAGAGGGGAAGCTATTTGCTGTTGGGGGAATATGTTTGTACTTCTGGTTTTGCTTTATCTTTTCAGTAAATTTCTCTTTGTAAGGCCACTTGTTAATTGCTTATTGATGATGTTGAGATGTTGCCATCCTCTGGGGAGCCAACTTGCCATCACAAGTAAAAGGTGGGATAAGGACTCCCAGAGTCAAAGGGCTACACTTATAGCATCAGATATTTTGTAAAAATATATTCGTTTCATTAAATGTATCCCAATTACATTTTTAAAAATGTTTAACATTTTT